GATGGCCCCTTTATATTTTTTATAGATAGGGTTTTTATAAAAAATTGAAATAAAATCTTATTTATATGACTATCATTTTTAAAGGTCTAAGAAGCAGATGACATAACTTTAGAAATCAGAAATTATTGAGAGAGGAGCAAATCTAAAATTGAAGTTTCAAATTTTTCACGCGGAAGTGACAATATGTTTTGTGTTTTATTTAATCTTGTCAATTTTTTTAAATATATTAACATAACTGCAAAAAATCCAAACAAAACAGCTTGAGCAAAAAAGACTTGTAATTATTAGAAAAGTTTACTTATATTACATACAATCTTAAATAAAACGTTATACAAGTGGATTTTTTACATTATATTCATAAACAATATATATATATATATAAACAAATAGAATATATGTTTATATATACATTGCTTATATAGAGACAGTTAAGTGCAACTAAGTTAAAAAAAAATTAGTTTGTATTAAAATTAAAAAATTATTTATAAAGAGTTTCTTTGCAAAAAACAATGCACTATAATAAAATTTTTAAATGCTATAATAAAACTTTGAACTACAATTACTATATTCACTAAAATAAACATTTTCACTATAATAAAATTTTTAAGCAATTATATTTAATATTTTGGTTTAGTGGCTTTATTAAGAGCTTTTAAATTTTGCGTCAAATTATCTCATTTTAACATATTTGTTGTATCATCCATACTGCAGCCGTTTTTCAAAACGCCTTAAGATTAAAAATATCATTTTTGAATTTTTTACAAAATAAGCTAGTTGATATGTGTACAAACATTATTGAATACATATTTTCAAAGAGTTTTGAAAAAAATTCAATAAAATTATTTGTTTCAAAAAACGTTTAACAAAGAGTTAATTTTAAATAATTTATTTTTAATTGCGTTTTTTTCAAAATACGTAGTAAGCATATTAAGGCGTTTTGAAAAACAGCCGCAGCATATATTTATAATAAAAAAATAAATGTAGCAAAAAAAGCTTTTCATTATCAAAAGAAAGTTTTACATTTTTTTTTAGCTACGGGCTTTTTTTTTTTGCCTACGCAGCAGCACCTTCTTGAGTAGCAGGACTTCTTATTTATTTAATATAGTTTTTTCTTTATTAAGTTTCAGACAACTTTTTTTTCAGACCATCCGCAGCTTATTAGGACTAATTACCTGAGCACATTAATAACATAAGTTCTCAATCATTATACATACGCAACAATTTTTTTTTCCCGGTGATATTTTTTTTTTAGCTTTCTTAAAATCTTTTCTTTTGTGAGTGCATAATAACGTTACGTTACATATGTTTCTATATAATCTTTAATATTATCTTCAAGAGTATTTTGTATTTCAAAATAATAAAGAATTTAAAAAAATAGCCCCCATTGGTAGGAATCTAACCTCTAGTTTCTTGTTCAGAAGTTCGACGCCTTATCCACTCGAGCTACACATGCATACAATCTGGCTTAGTTTTTTTAAAATAATGTAATAATTTTTTTGAGGAAAAAAATGTTATAGATCAAAATTAAGGAGAGCTTGACGCAATGTAATTTTCAAGTGAAAATCATACTGTAAAACTTGATGACTGTTTCAGTATGTTTTAACATATGCTTTAACATTACTTAGTTTAAAGTTTACATACGTTAGATATTATTTCACGTTTTCTTACAGTGCTGCGACTCTTTCTTGCCAATACCTCGGTTGCAATGGCTGCCAAGGGTTTCGTGTCAAATACGCTCCAAGGGACACTACTACTACTATTAAAACTATTAAGTTTGGCAATATTATATAGATTATATTATATCAGGCAGAACATTGTATTTATTTATATATACAGTAGTGGCCATTGAATTAAATTTAGTATAACTTTGAATGTGCCTCTTAAATATGCAAAGTATTATATGTCAATGTCATTAAATGAATCAAATTAAAATTTTTTATATATCTTTGTTTAAAAGACATCATCAAAGCTTATTAAAGTTCTTTTTTAAAGCAAATAGTAAATAAATTAAATAAAATAAATGTGGGTAAAAAGGCAGATTTGAGTGATTTTGTTAAAGGTCAAGTCATAACTTTGCATGGTGAAGGGTACTCATAAGTTATCATTAGTAAACGTCTAGAAATATCGGGATGTGCTGTACAAAATGTTCTAAATTACATGGGAGTTCAAGACGTCGAAATTACCACAGCATTCAAAAAACTACACCCCGTGATGATCGATACCTGAAAAATATTGTGCAAGCCAGTCCTCACACTTCCTCTGCCTGAGTTACCCGATTGGCCACGGAAAGAGGCATTAATATTAGTGCCAGAAGTGTTCGCAGACGTGTGTCTACAGAATTTAAGCTGCATGCACGTAGACCAGCAAAAAAGCTATTTCTCACCAAGAAGCAGCTTCAGGCACATGTGAAATTCTGTTGTGATATGAAGGACAAAACACACACTGCGAGTGGTGGACTACTGTGATGTTTACTGACGAAAGTACTTTCCAGCAGCTTCGTGGTTCAGGGTACAATTATGTTCGTTGACTGGTAGGTGAAAGACTCAACCCTATATACAATCTGAAGACCGTTAAACATCCGCCATCTGCTATGGTGTGGGGAGCTATCTCAGCCAAGGGTAGATGCGTAATCCACATCTTCCGTAAGGGCAAAAAGGTCAATGCTGCAAAGTATATATTATAGGTTTTAGAGTCAAAGGTTAAGACACATATGAACATTTCTGAAACTACCATCTTTCAACAAGACTCAGTACCGTGTCATACTGCGAAATCAGTCATTTCATGGCAACAATATGCAACTGTTGAAGAACTGGCCCTCAAATTCGCCTGATTTGAACGTTATTGAAAATTGTTGGAACTTAATGAAAGCTAAAGTGTCAGCACATCGTCCAATGTCAGAGGAATATTTAAAAGATGTATTGAAGCAGGTGTGGGTAAATGAAATTACCCCAGAGTGCTGTGACAAGCTTGTAAAAAGTATGCCTTCTTGTATACAGGCTGTATTGAAAAATCCTGGTTACCCAACAAAATACTAAGATTTTGAGACTTTTTGTTGATGAATTTTAAAAGCAATGCTGCTATATATGTTTTATAATACTAATAGTACATAAAATACGATTTCATGAAAGAGAAACTGGACTTGCTTAATTAAAACTGCAATTCTGCTAGGTGCCTTAATTCAATGGCCACTACTGTATATATATATATATATATATATATATATATATATATATATATATATATATATATATATATATATATATATATATATATATATATATATATATATATATATATATATATATATATATATATATATATATATATATTTATTTATTTATCAGGCTTTCACAGGAAGACGTGCGATTTCATGTCTTTATATGACCACGCAAAAAAAAAATGTTTTAACGATTTGACCACGGCATGTTTTTAAAATTTAAAAACGCGCTACAAAAACTTATCTGAAAAAAAAATTTAAAAAAATAATAAATATTAATGAAAGAGAAAATAAAATAAAAAAATACTTAGTTAAAGCAAAAACACACAAAAATAAATATATATATATAATGCAACTAAAACAAAACTCATCAAACTAAAATGCTTAGTCTATTTAATTTACGCATTAAAAAACCTTTTTAATCTTTGTTTCAACATTTTTATATATTTTTTATTTGTTTAATATGTTCAAAATTAAATATTTCTCATAAAAAATACATAGTTATATAAATAAAATAAAAAAACATTTTATAGATACTTTTTTTAAATTAATTAGAAGTGTTTTTTTTTTTTTTTAATTCATTAAAAGCGTTTCGATAATAAAAAAGCATTAAAGATCAAACTTATTAAATTGTAACAGTTTTCTAAAACTTTTTTTTTAACGAAATTTTGTTTATCTTTTTAAATGCATTAACTTTAATCATTCTTATATTTAAATTCGTTAAAGAGACTTTCGTAGTCGTAGAATGTCATCGTTTATATAAACAAAACAATTTTTGTATTTTTTAATAAGATTTATTTTAGAAATGAACATTTTAACAATTTATATGTTTTAAATTAAAAAAAATATACACAACTGTCATTTATATTTCAGTAAATTGTTACTTTATTTAAAATCGTTTCGCTAATATAAAAACATTTGTTAAGAAGTTTTGATGTAATTAATTTCACTTTTTTAGAATATTTTTTATTTAGCGCGTTTCTAAGATGTTATTTGAATTAGCTGCAGTCAAACCGTCATAGCAAAATGTAACTTGCGTGGTCATATAAAGACATGAAATCGCACGTCTTCCTGTGAAAGATAAATGTAAACAAAATAAAATCTAAAATTAGGATAAAATTTAAATAAATTAGAACTTTAAATTTAATATATATATATATATATATATATATATATATATATATATATATATATATATATATATATATATATATATATATATATATATATATATATATATATATATATATATATATATATATATATATATATATATATTATATTAGTAATAGTCTAAAATTTTAGAAAATTAACCAACACAATGTATCTCAAATCTACATTTACTTTATTTCTGAGAGGTAAATTTAATCAATTTATAACCTCTCGAGTTTAAAAAATATATATAACAAAATATCTAGTCTGACCATAAAACTTGACTTTTAGTGTGAATTGAATAAGTTATAGAAATTAAATGCTTTTAAGTAAAATGAAGATTTTATCATGTGAATGTTCATGTGAATGTTTTGTGCATTATTAAAAAATTTTTCAAGAAAATTTCAACTGAAAAAAGCATAAAAAAGATCACTTGTTTTCACAGTAAAACATGTATAAATAAAATATCAAAAGAAAAAATTATGAACTATTCAGTAGTACTGTTTATAAATTAATGAAACCAATATTTAAAATGCAAAACAGAGAATTACTTTAAAAGTCACGATTGTGGCTTGCTGCACTTTAATGGTGCCATAATCATAGCTTATTGCAGTCAAAGGGTTAAAGTTACCTTTATATTCTTGTATAAGCATGCCATCAGTGCTCCATAAATTTATTTTTCCTGAAAGATATGAGACTGTCAATAAACATTCCCCATACCACATGCACACTTGAGGAGAACCACAAGCCAGTATTATTGAAATCAAGTCTAATGTATCAGCATTATAAATTGCAAATATTCCTTGATTAAGACCTAAAGCAAACATATTTTTTTTAATTTCACTTAAACAGTAAATGCCATTGCAATCATCACCAAGTGGTCTAATTCTAACTGTTAAAGTATCATTTGTTTGTAAACATATTTTGTATATATCTGATGTTTTTTCTGTTTGATAGATAACAATTATATACCTATAATAAAAAACACAAAAACTAAAACAGCATTTAATAACTTTTGCATCAATATCAGTTGCTAATGGAGCCATATATTCCATGACTTGCTCAATTACTGGAGTTTTATCTGTTACACATTTTATAGAGTAAACCACAATCATACTTTTAGGGCTATTTGATATAACTGCAAAGTGAGAACTGCACTCAGACCAAGTACCAAAAATAACATTATTACTAGGAAAATTACATCCACAAATATAATCAAAATTTTTAGTCCATAATTTTATTTCGCCACAATATGATACAGTTAAAACAAAATCTGCTTTACTTTTAGACATAACTACAATAAGATCTGAATGAGCTTGAAATTGTAACACTTTTTTGTGCAACACTATATTCCAACAAACAATACAACTTCCAAGTGGAGCAAAATATTCATATTCTTCACAAGCTGGAAAACCAACAGATTGTCTTAACGAAGCAACTCCCCAGCAATTTTTTATAGAAAGGGATAGCATCTTTTTCAAAAAATAAATAAAAATATCAATATATTTTTAAATGCAAAAAAATTAATAATAACAGCAACAATATATTGTTATATATATATATATATATATATATATATATATATATATATATATATATATATATATATATATATATATATATATATATATATATATTGTTTTATATAAAAATATATTGCTTTTGCTATAGCTTTTATTATTGTTTAATTTACTATTGTTGTGGTAAAGCTACAGTTTAGCAGCCTAAAATAATTTTTTTTTTTTTTGCTTGTTGTGCTTTCTTCAGTAGAAACTTTTTAAACATAAGGAATATTTATTGGAATAATAAAAGTAAAAAGATTGCTACCCCATGTCAAACTCTCAGTTGATGTAACACCACACTCCCTTGCAGCAGAAGGCTATTAGATAGTCGATGTATGTACTGAAGCCAATGAATATTCCTTATGTTTAAAAAGTTGTCACTAATGAGAGTGCAACAATCAAACAAATAAATGTTTTAGGCCGTTTAAATGTAGCTTTACCATTATTTTAAATAATAATAATAAGAACAAAATAATAATAATAATAATAAAAATAATAAAAATAATAAATAGCATATGCAAACAAAAAAATAGATTAAGAGGCTAAAGATAACAATAAGAAACATAAAATATTAATTGTTAAATAGAATTATTCTATTTATATTAATAACAACTAGATAATAAAATCCTTTATAATATATAATTTGCTCAGTAAAATTGTGATAGTATTTGCATAATAATTGATGATTATATTCACAAGTTGTAAATGTTGTAATATAACAGTAATTAACGTTATATAGAATATTACATTATATAATAAAATGGCTCACTATATATTTTGTTAGTAAAACTGTATATATTTATGGCTTTTATTTGACAAAATATATAGTAAAGTATATTATTGTTACTGTATATATTATACTACTGTACAATTGGTATTAAATATTAATAATAATAAAAATATTATTAACATTAATGATAATGATAATAAACTTATATTTTAATTTACTTTTTAATTTAATTTTTTTGTTATTGTTGTTACTTAGTAACTGATACTATTTATGAAAATATTTTAGTACGTGATATTCATTCATATTTTTTTAATTTCTTTGTTGGGGACACCTAAAAAATTTTATAAATTAGAAATTTAAAACTTTTCGACAATTTAATCAGTCATAAGAAAATAGAAGGATATTTTTTGCAATAAATTATTTTTAATATAATTTATTGCAAAAACAATATCAAAACGTTTAAAGCGCTTTGTAATTCTTTTTTGCAACAAATTATATAAAAATGAGCCGTAAAAATACATACATGAAAAAAACAAAAAACAATTAAATTATATTAATATATCAATAGCGGTATCAGTTTTAGTGTGTTTCAGCACTTAACACCCTTCAACCACCAATCAATATTCTATAGATGTAGAATACACAACACCCATAGAATATTCAACACGTGACGGGTGTTCTAACGCATAGTTCATTAACGCAGCATGTAAAATGTAGCTAAAAAATGTAAAACTATAAAATGGAATATTATTGGATTTTATTCCATTATTTAAAGATTTCCAATCTTAATTTTTTTAACATAACAAAAAACGAATAGAAATTTACAAATCATCAATTACATAATAACGTCATTGCAAACAATGGAAGGTTTTTTATCTATACCGATTCTGCGCATTTTTATTACTATTATTTTTGTTAACTGAGTGACCTAATGAACTTTCTGCGCACAGAGGTGTGACATTGTTAAATGCGGTTTCAAAAAGGTTGAAATTGTTTTTCCATCATGGAGTTAAATAGATTTCTCATAGCTGGACAGAAGAAAATACTAATTTGAAATGTGATGACTTCTTTAATTACGTATATAAAGATGCGAGAATCTTATCCAAATCGAGTTATTGCTTTTTAAATCATTTACTTCACCTGTAACGGTTGTAGAACGTAGCTTTAGGAAGTTAAAATTAACTAAAGCTTTCCAAAGCTCAATATAAAGCTTTCTTATACAAAATACATTTAGTTATATTTCTTTGAATAGCTCAACAACCGTTGATAAACATTTCGTCAGCTAGGAATACAAATGTTGCATCGAAAATTTATCAAAATTATATATAAAATTTATATTTAATTGTAATAAATTTTCCAAATGACACTATTCCGAGCTGATAAATTGTTGTTTCTAGAAATGCTTTCATTTGAGAACGAGATTGCAAGGAAGTTAAGTTATTATAAACCTATGGCTTTATTTTGCCTTTATTATGTCTTTATAACTTTATTAAAGGCATAATAAATAAATAAATTAGCAATCATAAAACATTTTGCAAACTATTTTTTGTAATACATTCTATCTAATAAATCCACTTTAGTCAAAGTAACTCTTGATTAGTAAACTCTTTTATTAATATAAATACTACATTTATACTTTAACTAGTGTTAACGCTTTTGATTAATAAAGTTAGTGCTTTAATCAAACGGTTAATTTTTTTGTTTTCAGCCTTGTGAGCGATGACGTAAAAATATGCCTGGTGCCCACATTTTTCGGGGTATTCATTGTTTTGTTTTTAAATAAAAAAATGAGATCTTTTTAAACTCATTTTATATAAAGCAGCAAAATATCCGCAATGATATCGATGTACATACTGTTGTTGATTATACTATCAACCGAGTGGATACGCCCGACACGATGCCTACTCAACCCTAAACCATAATGTTTCTTTCTCCGTGCTTTACTGTTGGTAACTAGTATTTAGGGTCTTTATTATGGCCTTTTGAACAATGAATATATTTAATACCATTAGATCCAAATAACATAAATTTTTATCCACCACTAAAAAGTACTTTTGTTTATTGTTCTTTTGTATAGTTCAACTGTTTATGAGCAAATCACACATATGCTTTTCAATTCTTAATAAAATTAAAAGGTTTAATTACAGGACGTGTTACAAAGAAAGGACGTCTTCAAACGCAGACCTTAAACAACGCTAAGTTTTGTCAACACTTCATTTCACTTTATAAAGTTTTTCAACAACATTTCACTTTATAAAATTCATCAACAACATTTCACTCCATAAAATTCTTTCATTTTAGCAATTAATAGGACAGAATTCTTGCGTTGATCATTTTTTAAGACGCGAACTAAAGTTTAACCTTGTCTTTTATTTCCTCGTAACAATTGTTGGTTTTTCTTCAAACACTCAATCTCTCATCTTGAATTTAATAACTAACTTTCTGATAATCAATATGGATTTTGATCTTCTTGTTCTATGACTAATTTGCTAACAGTAATAACCGATAGGTTTTATCGTGCATTAGATAAAGGTGGAGAGGTTAAGGCTATCGCTCTTGACATTTCTAAAGCGTTTGATAAAGTTTGGCATGTTGGTTTTCTCCATAAACTTTTTTTCTACGGTGTATCTGGAAACATCTTTAAGATTATTGAATCCTTTCTTTCCAATCGTAGTATAAAAGTTGTCCTTGATGGACAGCACTCATCTTCTTATTTTGTAACCTCAGGGGTTCCTCTAGGTTCAATCCTTGGCCCTAAACTTCTTTTAATTTACATTAACAATCTTTCAGATATTCTCACATCTAAGGTGGCATTGTTCGCTGATGATACTACCGTTTATTCTTGTCATGATAAGAAGCCAACACTCTCTGATTGTTTGGAGGGGGCATTTGAGCTTGAAAAGGATCTCACTTCTGCTACAGCATGGGGCTCACAGTGCCTGGTGAACTTTAATTCAGATAAAACTCAATTTTTTTTAGCCAACCATTATCACAATAATTTAGACCTTCCTATATTTATGAACGGTAATGTACTCGATGAGTCATCTACCCTTCATCTTCTAGGATTAACTCTTACTTTTGATCTTTCCTGGAAGCCATATATAAAATCCATTGCAAAATTAGCATTTGCTAAAATTGCATCTCTTTATCGAGCTCAACACTTTCTTACTCTGGATTCTATTCTCTATCTCTATAAATCTCAAATTCGACCTTGTATGGAATACTGTTGCCATGTCTGGGGCGGATCTTCTAATGATGCCCTTTCTCATTTAGACAAGATGCAAAAACGCATTGTAAACATAGTTGGACCAGATCTTGCAGCCAACCTTCCACCATTATAACATTGTTGTAATGTTGCTTCTCTTTCTTTTCTACAAATACTATAATGGGTGCTGCTCTAAAGAGCTAGCGTCTCTTGTGCCATCTACTAAAATTCATTCGTTTTTTTCCTCGTACATCAGTTCTTTGGGATTCGCTTCCTTCATCTTGCTTTCCTAATTCACATAATTTGCAATCTTTTAAGTTGTCTGTCAATTGTTATCTTGCTCTGTAATCTTCATCTTTTCTCTTCTAGTAACTTCCAACACTAATTAGTGGTTGCTTGGGGCCTTGTTGAAAGCGAAGATGAAAATAAAATAGAATAAAAAAATAAAATAAAATAAAACTTGAAAAATAAAACATTTCAATTTAATATTATCTAGATATACTAGAGTACTAAAACAAGCCTTTAGAAACTATGCCGTTTTAGTGCGCTAAAAAGTGCCATAGAGTAGACCTCATATAAGTATATCATTAAAAAAAAAAGTATATAGTTTCCAACATTTTAAATATAAAATTTTTGATCATATTTTATATTTAAAATGTTGGAAACTAAAACAAATATATTTATATTTTGTGTTATTGCCTCAAACAAGACAAAAAACAATAAAAAAAATTATTTTTATTTTATTTTAGGTGCTCTAAGAAGTCCTTACGGTCTTATCACAGAACACTGCCGATGAGCATTCAATTGGAAGTTCACGCCTCCTTCCTAACCAGTCGTAAAACTTAGTTTGAGCGACGGATCCTCTGTTTCTGAGGCAAGTGCGCTACCACTGCGTGACGGCTGCTCTAAATTTCAATTAAAATTTTAAAAACTACTTTAACTTGTTAATAAACTACAAATTAGTGTCTAATTTAGAATATAATTAGAGTGGACACAAAATTTTAGGACACGAAATTTTTGACAGCTACTACAATAGTATAAGATCTAAATATATAAAAATACTGCGTAGTATATATGCCTAAAGCGCCAAATAGCATTGCTTTTTAGCCTTTACTATTATTTTTATTATTTTTTTGTTATATATTTTTGTTTTAGGTGCCTCAGAATCAATTGGTATAAAACAATTTTCATTTCTTTATTGGGTGTTTTCAATTTTTATTTAACATAATGATAATTTTTTTTGTCATCAGATGGGTCGGGGGAAACCGAGCCAGATCCCTCACCCTCTGTGTGCCCCTGCTACCCAACAATTACTTTGTCGTTGATAATCTTGTCAATTACTTTGTCGTTGATAAAATGTTGGTCAATAACGGACGCCACTTTGGATTAGTCTTAATGACTATTCGTTCCTATGCTAAGCCAACAATATCTTCGGATATAAGAAATTGTATAGAAAAATATAGCATGAAAACTCAAATAAATAAAATAAAATAAAATAAAAAAAACCATGCAACGTAAATATATATTTGGAAAAAAGCAAAAACCATAAATTTATATTTTCACCGCAGAATGTCTCTGCGGTGAAAATATAATTTTGTACACCAAATTTTATAATTGGCTTGTGAATATCAGATAAAAGGTCAATTAAAATTAACAGTAATTATTGCTATCTGCAGTATTGCTGTTCATCTTAAATTGTACAACTATTGTATTTTAGCGGCCATATAACAAAAATTTTTTTTTTTTTTGCTTGTGATTTTTTTACATAACATTTGTAAAAATAAGTAACTAAGATTTTTATTTTTTTGACTTATTTGTTTGTTTTGTTTTTTTGATTTGTGGCCCAATTGTTAGCTAGCCACAAATCTTGAAAACGCGTGACCCACTTGTTAGCTAGTATATTTGTTTAATTGTTAATAGTTTAAAAAACATTTGAAACAACAACAGATTTTCTATAAATAGGTTCATTTTTACTATTTATAGTTTAATTTGAAAGAAATGTCAGACATTTTTTTAATTAAAGTCAAAAACAAATTTAAACTGGTTTATTTTGATTTTCCTTAAGATCTACATTTTATTATTTCTTGACTTTTTTGTCATTCGATACTGTAAAATGGAATCTAATTCTGATATTTTGTGAGAAAGGAAATGAAAGTTTTATGCCTGCTTACAAAAACAATCAAATTAAGTGATTACAATTTTTTTTTAAAGTAATTTAAATAGTGGTCTTATTGCAGTCTTATTTGAAAAAAGATTCCTCTGTGTGTGTGTGTGTGTGTGTTTTTGTGTGTGTGTGTGTGTGTATGTGTGTGTGTGTGTGTGTGTGTGTGTGTGTGTGTGTGTGTGTGTGTGTGTGTGTGTGTGTGTGTGTGTGTGTGTGTGTGTGTGTGTGTGTGTGTGTGATAAGGTTGTACACAATTGATTATCATTAATAACTTAAATTATTTATAAAAAACATTACAAATAAAGCATTTTTTAAAAAACAAAGTAATAAAGGATAAGATAATTTTGTTATAGTATTGCATTATTTATAGTATTTTAGGCAAAAACTTTAAAATGTTATCACCAAAAATTATAAAGCTTGATGAAGTAGTTGTTAATCGAATAGCTGCTGGAGAGGTTATCCAGAGACCATCTAATGCCATCAAAGAAATGATTGAAAATTGTCTAGATGCCAAATCAAAGTCTATACAAGTAACTTTAAAAAATGGTGGTTTAAAATTTATTCAAATTCTTGATGATGGATGTGGTATACGAAAAGAAGATATGGGTATTGTTTGTGAACGTTTCACTACTAGTAAACTAAGCTCTTTTGATGATTTAAAATCTATTAATACTTATGGATTTCGTGGTGAAGCACTTGCAAGCATTAGCCATGTAGCTCATTTAACAATAACATCAAGAACAGCTGATTCACCTTGTGCATATAAAGCAGTATATGAGGATGGCAAGATTGTTGCACAACAAGGTGGTGATGCTGTAGCTCGTCCTTGTGCAGGAAATAAAGGTAAGTTAACTTATTCATATGAGTAATAAAATTAAATTATATGAAAAAATGCTAGGTAACATTCTTTACTGAATGTTAATAAAGCATAGTTAAGAATAATCATATCTTGTAATGTATCTTGTGTAAGTTTTATAGATTCGTTTTGAATTAGATTTCTGTCCAAGGTTTTTAACATCTTTTTTAGTTTAACAAAATCTTTTTTAGTTTAAGATTTCTTTGCTTTGGACATTGATTTAGTTATTGTTAATGATTTACTAAGTTACGCAAATGTTTTAATTTATTTTTTACAATTTCTTATGAATAAAAGATCAACAACAATTAATTTTAGTGAAATAGTATTGTTTGATTCGACAGAACATCCAAGTAATCCAATATCTATGAGAAACTCAATGATGACCAACAACATTGAGTTTCTCAGGTGTTATCGTCAACAACTGTGTTGTTGATGGTAATGCCTCTTCACATGATGATTTTATCAGTGCATCCAAAGAATATTAAGATAAATAAAAGAATTGAAAAAGGTCGAGAATGGGATCGATAGTAAGGAAATAGGGAGCACCATATATAGAGCCTTAGCAGATGCTAAATTTTAGACACTGAATAGGTTGTATATATAATTTCCATGAGAGGTTAGTAGTGTAGAATAAAGTGGAGACTTAAAGTAGAGGACTCAGTAAAAGTAAGTGAAGACTTAAAGCAGAGGACTCAGTAAAAGTATCAATCAATATAGGAATTATAAAAAACATTGCAATGTCTTTATACTTTTGCCTTGTCAAAGTCATTCTTTTCTCTACCTCTATTAATCTCTTATTCATCCCTGTATAGAATACTGTTGTCATATTTAGGCTGATTGTTCTAATGATGCTCTTTCTCTCTTAGAAAAAAACTAAAAATACATTGTAAATGTAGTTGGACCTGCTTTCTCTGCCAAGCTAGAGTCTCACTCCCATCATAATAAGGTTGCATCTCTTTCTTTTTTCTACAAATACTGTCATAGTTGCTGCTCAAAGAAGCTATTCTCTCTAGTTTCACCTACCTAAGCTCATTCTCGCTTGACTTTTCTTTTAGCAAAATTGCATCCTTATATAATCTACAACATTTCAAGTCTTTATCTCTATTCTTTGTTTTTTAGTAACTCCTAAGTTCATAGTGGTTGCTTGCAGCCTTGTTGATAGTGAATAAATATTTTAAAAAAAAATAGCACCTTGCTGCCTTTATCTACTGCATGTTAAATTATTAATCATACCAGTTTTTTTTTTTTTTAATATCTTTACTTCCAACAAGGCTGCAAGCAACTGCTATTAGCAGGGATTATCTTTTTCCGGATATTTCCGGAATTCCAGATATTTTTTTCAACTTATAATTTTTCCGGATATCCAAAACATTTTCAATAAATGCAAGTTGAGGTATATATTTTTGTAATATATTTATTTTTTAAGCTTTTTCACTCATCACTCATTGAAAAATTATGAAAAGTATTTTAAAAAAATTAGCATAAACTTTGCTAAAAGCGAAATTAAAAAGAAAATAAGGGAAACAAATTCCGGATTTTTTCCGGATATTTTATCCAAACAATTTTCAGGATATTTAAAATATGACTAGGATAACCTATGTATTAGAGTTAGAAGTTACTGAAATAGAAAAGATAAAGTTTAAAAAGCAAGATAATGATTAACAGATGACTTAAAAGATTGCAAATTATATGAATCAGGAAAACAAGATGAAAGGAGGAAATTTAAAAGAACTGATGTTTGAGGGAAAAAACTAGATAAATAAGAATTTTTGGAGTACTTAGGAACAGTCACAGCAAGCTTGACATTTAATTTGTTGACATTTAATTGAATGAAAAGTAACATGGAAATAAATATTAGTAGAGCCCAAGAGCAGTGCTCTTTATAATATTTATAGAAAATAGGAAGAGAAGCTATTACTACTATTTATTACTACTATTTATATTTTATTCTTTCTACTAGAACTATGTGACAATAGTTGAAGTTGACTGCAAGAGCAGATCCAACTATGTTTGCAATGCATTTTTGCATCTTGTCAAAAAGATAAAGGGCATCATTCAAAGAATTCTCCAGATACTGCAAAAGTATTCCATACAATAACGAATTTGAGTTTTATAGAGATAAAGAATAGAATCAGAAGAAAAGAGATGCAGTCGATTTGATATACCAATTCTAAGAAAGATCGAAAGTAAGAGTTAATCCTAGAAGATGAAGGGTACATCAAGTACCTTATATTATTGTATTATATATTAGCATTCATAAATTTTGGAAGATCGAATAGCTGAAATATGTTGAGTTTTATTTAAGTTAAAGTTCACCAGCCACTGAGAGCCCTATGCTGTAGCAGAAATGAAATCTTTCTTGAATGCCCCCTCCAAGCATCAAAGAGTGTTGGCTTCTTATCAAGACAAGAATAAACAATAGTATCATCAGCAAACAATGCCACCTTAGATGTGAGAATTTCTGGTAGTTTAGTTTAAATTAAAAAAAGCATAGGGTCAAGGATAGAACCTTGAGGAACCCCTGAAATTGTAGGAAATAAAGAAGAGTACTGACCATCCAGTACAACTTTTATATACGATTAGTAAGAAAGGATTCAATAATCTTTACTTGATACACCTTAAGAAGAGAACTATGGGAATACCAGCATGTTACCTGATACACTATAAAAATAAAACCTTTCAGTTATTACTATTAACAAATCTGCTGTAGAATGAGAAGATCAAAATCCATATTCATGAGCAGAATGTTTTTAGATTCAATATGAGAGACTAAGTGTTTGTTAATTAAAGATTTAAAAACCTAGCTTATGATAGGAAGAAGAATAATGGGACAATAGTTAAGAGTCAGATTGCTCTCCAGAAATTTGTAGAAGAATCTAAGCAGGAAATCACTTTATATAAAGAAGCTGGAGTGATACAATTGTCAAGCAATGGATCAACCTGTTTGTCGGCTATATCAGGTAGGATTTGATTAATGGAATCAAAAGTTGAGATTGATGAAAATTTCTAACAAACAATTCAGCCTAGTCTTTAGGTGAGGTATTTATGTTTTAAGAGACCCTGGTTTATTTATAGATCCCAAGCATAACTCATTGCATCCCAAGTAATAAGTTATGCTGTTGTTTCAGTCCTGCTATTTAACTCGAAGTTGTAACTTAGGGCTCCTTATGTGGCCTCGACAATGCACACTAAAAGCATCTGCAAGAAAGCCTTTTATGCACTACATAGAAATGGTAATACTTTGATAATTTTTAGCTGTTGATAGAATCTTTGAGAACTTTATATTATTATTATTATACACATTTTATATTATTTATAGAGTTTTATATTTATGTTATGAGATTTATATTTATGTTATTATTACAGAGTTTATATTATTATAAAGAATTTATATTATTATTATTACAGAGTTTGGAAAACCTTACTACCAACTAGCTAACACAATAACTAAGCCACCTCCATTTATTTAAAATAAATAAAAAAATATATATATATATATATATTTATATATTACTATAAGGATGATAGATATTAGATAGTATTGATGACAGGATGCATACTTCTTCTAGCCTTTGCTTAGAAAGCGAATTCTACAAGGCAGCGGGGTGTGGAACAGATTGCATTAGATAACATGTTTTTAGCAGCATGGTTTATCATGATGGTCATACACCTGGTGTATGACCATCATGACAGCAGGTCCATCAGCTTGACTTGACATGAACATACACCTGACCTGACAACAATGACCATACACCTGACCTGAGGAGTTCTCTATCTTTTTGTCAGTTGCAAAACTTATTTTATTGTTCAGAATAACAACTTCATCTTAGAATAGCATCTTCAAATCATTAGAAGAGATTTGATGTTTGCTAATTAAATCAAAAAAATTCTAAATTTATTTAAATAGTTTTATTATATGAGTTAAGATTTAAAAAGTTTTATTAATTTTTGTTAGTATCAACTTGTTTCTCAGCGCAGAGGCTTTTTTTTTTTTTTTTTTTTGTTGTTGTTGTCAATTTTGTAGTTAAAGAGTTTTAACAACAATTAAAACAAAATCAAAAATAGGATTTTGATAAAAAGGTAAAAGCTTTTAAAAAAAAAATAAACTTAAATTATTTTATGATCTAACAAACATGTTCTATAATTATTTGTTGATTATTCTGTGCTTGGCAATTATAATTATAAATTTCTTAGCTCTTTTAACTAAAATCTTTTTATTTTACACCTTTTTTACATTTGTTCTAATGTCAATTAGAACAAATCCATTAGAACTCATAGAACAAATCCATTACAAATATATACACTTGGGTGTCCTAAAAAGCATTTTTTTTTGGGGGGGGGGAGTAATGCGCGCCATCTAGAGCTTGGTTACTAGGTCTATTAAGACCAAATTTAAAAGAGTTTTTTAATTTGAAAGGTTTATAAGTACTTTAAGTAAAACTTTTATCAAAAATTTTTCTTTTTTTCTTTTTTTTAAATAAATTTAAATAAAATAATATCTTTCTGTTAAACATTTTTTTAAACATCTTCGCGTCTAACAAGGCTGCAAGCAACCACTAGTTAGAGTTGAAAGTTACTGAAAGAGAAAAGATGAAGATTGCAGAGCAATATAGCAATTGACAGACAACTTAAAAGATTGCAAATTATATGAATCAGGAGAGCAAGATGAAGGAAGCAAATTCCAAAGAACTGATGTTCGAGGAAAAAAACTAGTGAGTTTTTGGAGCACTTAAGAACAATCACAGAAAAAGAATGAGACTTAATTGAATGACAAGTAACATGAGAATGAATTTTAGTAGATGGTACAAGAGACGCTAGCTCTTTAGAGCAGTGCCTATTATAGTATTTGTAGAAAAGAGAAAGAAAAGCGACACTATGATGATCTGATAATGGTTGAAGGTTGGCTGCAAGATCTGGTCCAACTATGTTTACAATGCGTTTTTGCATCTTGTCTAAAACAGGCTTGGTCGGGCAGCTAGTGCGATCA